ATTTTATTTGTTTGCTCCCCAGCAGGACAAATGTGTGCCATTTTGATAACATTATTTCCCATTTTCCATTCATCCTTCTCTCACCACAACTCATGATGAGTTTCAGACTTTTTATGTTGACTGTCCACAAGGGAGTTTTTATTGAATCAACAGTGTCATCACATTTGAGACATTCAAGAATGCAAGGAGAAATAACTCAGCTCTCTGTCTTTGAGATACAGAAAATAATTTGATAAAAAGTTAAGCCTTGGCCTTTCACAAACTTTTTAGGAGGAGCACACCACATATTTTAGTCAAGGTGGGCGGGACGGGAGCACTCACTAAGCACCTAATCCACTCTTGTTAGGGGTCCTGGCTGAATTCATGGGAGACACAATGCCATGCAGAGCTGATAGGAGGGCTGGCGGTGGGCTGAGGTAATTGGATTGGAATACGGCATTGAGTGTCAGACAACAAAAGATACCCACCTCTCTCATGGCTCTTTTGTTGCTGCTGTGGAATTCATTTGGTCATTCACCCCATCCTCAGTCAGGGCACAGGGCTCCTATAGACTGGGGGCGGTTCACATGGTGGTACATACATTGCTTCTTGGGGTCTTCAGAGCTGAAATAATGATTTAAAGCTGCACTATGTAACTTTTTCTGGTGGAAAGTCCATCACCTGCTTGTGTCCATGATGTTGGTGCTTTGCCAGAATGTTCACCAGTAAGGTGATATACTGTACATTAAATTGCAGGTGTTTTTGCTGCTCAAAAATATACTGAAAACAAGTGTTCTCATTGTGAGCAGGGTCACCTCTCCACATATCGGACCAGTAATTTGTCGCCATGAAGATAAACAAATTAATGCCATAAAGTGGAACATTCTAGGCAATGTATGAACAACAAGCAGGTGGCAGACCCTTCACAAGAAATATTACATAGTTTTATTTCTGTAACAGTGTCAAATAAATCTGAAATCATCTTGGTTATAGAGAAATTGTAGTATTAACATAGACTAGGTTGGTGCTTTATCCCATATCCCTGTAGTCTGAATTTTATGGGATTACAGTGAATCTGTTCTAGACTCATCTGGACTTAATCTTTGTTTAGTCCTGGTTTAGCATCTGGTTTATCTGCAGTTTAACCAAGGAAGTATCTTGTTTAATGACTGCTTTTGTTGTTAAACATGGGGTGGGACAAGAACCAGTTCTCACAAGATGAAACAAAACACAAGATTGGGTCCCTGAGAACAAGACGAGATGAGATTTTGAGATATAACAAATATATAAACACAGTTGATACTTGGCCTCACTATATATATATATATATATATATATATATATATATATATATATATATATATATACACACACACACACACACATGCATACATACATACATACATATGTGTATATATATATATATATATATATATATATATATATATATATATATATATATATATATATATATATATACATATATATATTTATTTATTTATTATTATTTTTTATTATATATATAGTTGTCATTGTAATGTTGCATTTAAAGAGGTGTAACTCACTAGTTTTTCCTCAAGTTTTAAGTGGCAGTTTGATCTTGTGGTACAAGATCTTCTGGAGTCTTCAAATGATCTTGTCCCATTCCTAATAATCATACTAAATTAGTTCATTACATTGGCGTTTGCAGTTCAGGACTATCCAAATCATGAGGTCTAATACTGATCCAATGCTACCTAGTGCAGCCCCTTATGTGCAGCTCTGTGTGTGAACCATGTATCCCCCCAAAGCCCAGGGGTCATTTGTGTGATCATTACCATAATCACATTAAGTCTGCAGGAGATTAGCACCGCGGCCTCAGAGGAGAAATCCTGTCTCTGCTCCATGACGACTGCACACCACGCTGCGCTGTAGACACCTATTAGTCACATGACAGCGGTGCATAGAGGAAGTGAATCCACCAATGGGGTTTCAGCGTTAGTATCGCAGTTCGCCTTAAAAAACAGAGTAAGTGTGTCAGGCAAGTACTGAAGAGCAGTTAGTAGTTATTTTAGACTGGCAAGAAGTGATGTTAAAATCATTTCATAGTAGTACATAAGAAGAGCTTTTTTTGCCTGGCTATTTATGTCACATAAAATTGATTATGCAGAACATTTGATTTAATTAAATATTTTTACTGTAGTTTGGTCATTGTGACAAATTATATAAGATTCTTCTCACAGTGAACCTTACTGTGCTACTAGTAAGGTCCAAAATCACCATTAACAGTCAAGATTATGGATGTAGTGGTTAAGTCAGTCACAAGTCAAATCTGAAATCAAGGCGTTTTTATGACTTAGTTATTAACACACATATGTAACTTACTGCAAGATTTATATTTTCATGAAAGGAATACATAGACAATTTGTTATGAATTTTAACCATACTCAGAGCAAGCCAAAACATGCCACTAGTACCCTTAAATTGCCCTATAGCTTGGGGCAGCTAATTGCTGGTGGAGTTTTGACCTGCTTCCCTCAAAATGTAAGCATCTTAACAAGAGACAGCCTGTTTAAGACGAATTTGCATCTTTGCTATAAGCCATTATTTGTACCTTTAAGTATGTTTTGTTACCACAGAATCGACCTCCACTTGTCAATACTTCACAGTTTTGGGCAGGTCAAAGGGCTGTGTGGTGCAGGGTCCAACCATGTCTGCCCTGTTGTCCAAACCTTGCTATAGCAGGACCCAAATTTAGTTCCTACTAGAAGAGAGAAAATGTTCCCTAGGGTTAAAAACTTCTCCAATTAACCCTAATTCCCCAGAAAGAGCATTTGAATGAGCCCTGTAACCTGAGATGTCTATCAGTCTGGCAGCGCTGGGCACAGACGGCTGCAGCTTTCATCTTGAAGTTCAACCACAGGAAACCCACCATCTGAGCTCTGACAGTGATTGAAGATAGAGAAACAAGACTTGTGATTGAGGGCTAAGTAAATGTGCAATATGCAAAATGCTATGTAAAGGGAGGTAAATCGAGTTTGCCCTGGTTTTATCTTGGTTTAGACTTCCTAGAATCATTACACCTGTCCTTGTTAAAAGCTGGTGTAAAACTTGTTTTACCTTAATTATTTTATGACAACATCATTTGTAATTTTTGTTTATCCTGATGTAAAATATTAAATACAAGTTAAATATACCAAAGAATATGTTATTGGCTCTATAACTTTCACACTAACTTCCACATCACATTAAGGTGGCTTTGTCAATTTCATTATTTAACTTTACGATGGTAATACAGAAAGGATTATGGTTTAATAACATCGCATGGATTCAAAGAGCTTCTTACATCATTGGAACGGATTATTATCCAAGGAACAAACATACATATATAATATATTTGCATATCTAAATTACGCTAAATAGACCTGTACCATTTTTGCCTACAGTCATTAAAAGTAGGTTTGCATAAGATACAAGTGACATCTGTCTTCAGAACAATCAGTTCTTTCAATACAAATGAGGAGATTTCTTTGTAAATCAATGTTTTTCTTATCACCATGACTGCATTGTCATGTGGTACTGCCATAAACTGCTATAAAGTGAGATGGTGAAACATTACATGGTTACTTATTGATGTGGCTGCTCTGGTCGTGTTGGAGCTCCAACTGTGTTCCTTGATTGACCCATTGAGTGACCTGTGTAATTGGTGCACACAAATCACTAACCACAGGGCGCTGGGTTCCCGTCCAGCATCTGATGGATGTCTACGGACTGCTGCTGATCTCCAAACAGATTACCTTCCTCCACTGATACACCTGGCCACAATTTGGCCTTCGACACCGGAGTCGGCCAAAGAGGATACTGGGGCAATAACACAATTTAGCAATTTGTCAGCCCTTTCATTACAAAATACATAGCATGGATATTTAAACAGTAACATAAGGAAATGGTCAATTCAAGTAAACGTTATGCCGATGAATATTTGATGTAAGGTGGTAGAGTAGCGTGTAGCTACTTTAATATTACATAAGAAAATGTTGATAACTTACACATTAGATAACCTTAACATTATATTAAATTGTTCTAATTCAAGTATCAGAAAAATAAATCCATACACAAATTGGAAACACAAATTGGCAAAAAGCAAAATAAACATGTTAAGAAGAAAGTACGCTACAATGAACTTATAAAAATACAATTTTGACAAATTTTTATTCTAGTATATGTGTGTATCTTCACCTTCCTTTGCTTATGCCCCTGCTTGAAACCTTTTGCTCAGAACTGGAGTGCATAAACTCTTAAATGTCCACTATAATGTATAGCAAATTAATGCCATAATTCTATAATGATTTAGGGAGGAAATATAACTAATCATAATTTGTGGTTTCGAGTTGTTAAGTTTTACAGTGGATTTTGCTTCTGTGCAAAACAAGAAATGCAATACATGTCGGATCCTGTGGTAGGCTACTCCAATGACACTTTTATTAGTGAATGCATGGATTTCACATCATTGCAAAAACATGCAGATACTTGGTGGAATCCAAATGCTTTTTTCCAAGGCTCACATTACAAGATGTCTCTCATAGAAAGCATTTATTTTTTTCTTCAAATGCCCTTGAGTTAGAAACTGGCCTTGTTAAATTAAGTCTAGTTTGCAATTCAAATGATTTATAGCACCTGCACATATTTAGAGGACAGTAAAACTACCTATTAACATTTTTAAGATGGAATAAATCTTAACTGGGGTAAAGAAATGTGTGGTCACTAGGGCATATAATGAAATGCAATAGACTTAAAGTGTGTGCAAATTGATACTTGCCTCTCAATAACTCATCCATGTTGAAACTGTGGTTATTGATATGCAGGCAGGTTACGGTTTATGCAGTTATATTTTCCACCACAAACATCTCTAAGAAGCTGCAGTAGTGTATATCATTACCTTGAGTTGTTTAGGGGCGGACTGGCCTCTCCCCTCTCATGAATATGGATCTTGCAGGCAGCATGGACACTCCCTCCTTGTTGAACTTGTGCAGTGAGCGCCTCTTCGGACCAGCAGTCAGTCAGTCAGCGAGCAAGCAGTGGACTAGGCTGGCGCATGGCTACTGAATAAACTTTTCCTCCCTCAACAAGTGGAAGACGAGAGGACGGAGAGTTAGCAGCAGTGGTAGTTTGCGTGAGGAGACTTTTACGGGGACATAACGTGGAATAGGTGGCTGTCTTATGACCCGGGGACGTGTGCTCTGCTTGCTCAAGTGCTCTTTCCCTGTTGTGCATGTTTAAATCAGAGGAGAGCAGTGGAGCCGTGTGTCGGCCAGAAAACTAATAACCAACAACCGTGAGGCGACAGCAGACTGGAGCAGGCATGTTTTGGAGACGAGGCTCGGTCGTGGCCGCCTTTTTACTCTGCTTTTTTACCAAGGTACTTGTTTTTACTTCCTAAAACAGTGGATAGTTTTCGAAGTCTTGTTTTGATTTTTCTTTCACGGCAAGTGTCAACTAATAAAACGCGGCTATGCTAACATTACATGGTCATACCTCGTGTATTATCCCTGCGCTAGCTTGCGTAAAGTCATATTTCAAATCAGCAATGTTTACGTGCTTGTTTTACGCAATAACATGTACTTATAATATGCTTTAAATGCAGAAATATGTGTAATTTTGCAAGTTTAACTCACTCTTGCGTCTTCAACAGGTGTCAGTGGGGTCTGGACAATTCGAGCTGCAGATTTTATCGATGCACAACGCGAATGGAGAGTTGCATAGCGGCGCTTGTTGTGATGGCGCACGGAGCACGGCGGATCGAAAATGCTCCCGGAGCGAGTGCGATACATTTTTTAAAGTTTGCCTGAAGGAATACCAATCTCGGGTCTCGGCTGCGGGCCCTTGCAGCTTCGGAATGGGATCTACGCCTGTCCTGGGAGGGAATACGTTTTCTTTCAAGAGCGCAAACAGGAATGACAAATCCAGGATAGTTTTGCCCTTCAGTTTTGCCTGGCCGGTGAGTCCTTATTTTGGAGACTACTTCGTTTTGTGAGTCTTGAGTCGACGGGCTTCTTCAAACAAAAAATGAGAGAAAAAATGTCTGTTTGCAGTTCAGTTCAGAGCAATTACCATGTGTCAGTCACCCACCTCGACCCCAAACCCACCACGACAGAAATCACAACAAACTAGAAGAGTGCACTTCTCTTGTGGTAGTTAGGCTCTTTGTGAATTATCCTTTTGAACAAGGACACCTTGTTTTTCCATAATTTCTGTGCATTGACCAGGTGCTATTGGTATTTATCTTTTTCAGGCCTAGACCTGTGTGCTTTTTAACTAGTTTACATATTTGACAAGGCATTGCACAACCAAGCAACTGGGATGAAAGCTAGATTGGACCTGAGTGAAATTGTTGACAGCCCTTGAACATGCCATTCTTCTAAATACTAGTTATCTGCTGTAAGTGCCCTATAACACAGTAAAAAATGTTGCCTCCCTCTTTAGGCCAGCAGCTCTTGTGTTTGGGAGTTGAGTGAGTAGATCCCTCCACTCCACTCTTTTGGCTCATAGTCCTGCTTAGAGTAAAAAGTACTTTAAAATTCAGAACTTCTCCTTTCCTTCGTGTCAGCTCTTCTTGGTGTGAGAGTAAATAAATGGTCGTGGCTGGTTGTGGGAGCGTGGTTGTAGGTCTGTGAGAGAAGATTTGCCATGGAGCACATTTCGATATAATGAAAAGTGCGCTCACTCCACATAGACTCGCTAACCCCACACTTGGCCCAATGCCCCCACCACTAGTGTCTGATTCTGTAGGTCTGACTGTGAAACAGTGCGCTGGTATGGGCATGTTACATTTAAGCTTTACTTTTATGACTTTTAGATGAAATTCTTTTATATAATGCACAGTTGCGGTCGGTTATAGCCAGGTCATAGCAGTCTTTAAAGGGGCACTGTGTGACTTTCTTGGTGGAGGGTCTATCAGTTTGTCTACATGGAGATGTTGGTGTTGCTGGAAAGTTTCATAGTAAGACATTAAACTTAGGTATCTTCACTGACACAAGCAGGCCAAGTTACAAGTAGGATCTGTGGAGAGACAACCCTGCTAACATTTAGAAGACATTGTTTTAAAGGTATTTTTGAGCAATAAAACACCTGTAATTCAATGAATGCAAGACAAATCAGTGTAAAATAAAGTAACAACATCTCCATAGAGACAATCAAATGGCAAACCTTTCACCAGCAAAGTTTCACAGTGCACCTTTAATGTCTAGTATGGAGCAGTTCTCTCAGTAGTTCTCATGCAGCAGAGCAGAGGGGCAGAGCAGATCATTCAGGCTGGTTTTCCCCCCTGATCTGATCAGGCAGTAGAACAATGTTCACGGCAGGGTAGCATGCAATCTGATAGGGGCTGTATTTTTTTATTTGCCCTCGACTTAGACACTGGCGCCTCACACCTTTTTAAAAGACAAAAGTTTCTGTTTATGTCCGCTCTATGGTAACTTTGAGTTGGCATAAATGCTTAGTGCCAGATTAGTTTCATGTTATGTGGTGAAAATTGTTTCTAGTGGAAAATAACACTTGTTGACATTGAAATATGACACTATGGAAGTATCCCAGCCTTCAGGACTGTTGTAACTGCACTTACAGCATTATAATTCACTATAACAATTTTCATTTCATTGAAAACAAATGGCTTTCATTAACAATAATCATGACACCTTGCTTACATGTATGTACAATCTCTACATAGTCTTACACATTACCAGACTGTAAAACATATGGCCCTGGGCTAAATATGGACGGTAATAAAAACTGTGTATTAGCAGTGAGCATACTTTTGACTTGCAGGAGCTCATTATTTAAGAAAAAATGTACAAGTCAAACTATGGAAAAATGACACCATCAAAAAAAACAGCCCAAAAGCTAGCACATGTGTAACAGAAGCAGGCTTGAAAAAACAAAATGACTTCAGGGAATACAGATACAGTAAAGATATAGATCTTAAATAACCACCTCTAAGATCAATGGTGAAACATGCAATTAAAGCTTTTATAGTAGTTTCTTATCATTTCGGTTTGGCTCCATATGAAACCATATTTTCTTTATCATCACAGCTGTCTTACAGTTTATGACTACATCCTTGTTGAATCAAGTCATTATCTGGTGACATGATGTGTAATAGGTGGGCCCCAGAATAGCCTTTTACACAATGACACTGTCCAGTTGTGTTTTTTCCATTGAAAGTGGAGAAGGCGGTTGTTGCATTCCCCTTTAGTCCTTTTATCCAAGAGCTCTACTTGAGTGCACATTTACAATCGTCAGGTTAGGTATGATATCACTCTTTGTCCTTTTCATCACTTGATTGGCTGTTGCGGACAGATGGCAGTGTGGTGCATGTTGGGTTGTTGGGTTGTCGGAGTTCATGAGGCTGCTGATGTCCCCCTCCTCTCCTCTTTTTGGTCTCTGCATAAAGTTGGCCTCTTGTCCCGGGCCAAGGGCTTTGTTTAAGTCACGCTTGGTTGGACCTCAGGCATTTCATCGCTTTAACCTTGCCACCCACAGTAACCGCTGCACTTAATGAGGCTACACACATGTCCCCTTCAGGTATAAGGGGTGACAGGCAGACCACCAGCTGGACACTGTCGCCAGGACATCTTTAGCCTGTTAGCGTTCTCATACAACTTTGCAACTTCATCTGTATGTTATTTTTATATTACATAGAAGTGTGGCTCTGGCCATTCACACAAGTGTATCAAGCCAGGACAATGGGCTGCCCTCAGTGACTACAGTGAGGATTACCAAACATAATGGAGCCAGTGCAGCTGTATTGCCAGTGCAGGGCAAGCAACCGGAAGCAGTAGTAGTAGACTCAGCATTGATAAAGCTACCTTAGTGATGGACCATATCTCTTCTGATAACTGAACTTTACATTTTGTTGGCAGTATGGACACTACTAAGTTATTTGCTGATTGATTCAGTGAAAGCTCTAGTTTATTCAGTACTTAGGCAGTCCTGGTTTGGGCATGATTTAGTTCTTAATACTAGCTTTATTACATAATAAAGCCTGGGATTTATTTAGCGCCTTTCAAGCTACTCAAAGCGCTAAACATTGCATTATTCATTCAATCCACACTTAGCGTTGGTAAGCTTAAGGTACTTTCATAGCCATAGAATTTGTGTTTTGAGTTGGTTTGGGCTTGATTTAATGCAGAATTGAGCTCATTTTTCTCTGTTAACCTGAGCTAGTACTTCAGTGACATGCTTATTCTCTGAGAACCACTGGATTAGTTTGAAAACAGCCATTGTGTTTTTATTAAGCAACCTTTTACCTTAAAGTAGGCGCCTCAGTTCTGCAAGTGCTGCATCTAGTCGTAATAATTTACAATGGCGGCGTCTACATTTAGATGTGGGACAGCCCTGACATGACGATGATAGACCTTTTGACAAGTCATAGCCTTCTGAACACCACTATCAGGTGAGTTCTGCTGCAATCATTGGCTTAACCTTGAGGGTAAGCACTGCTGGCAGCTGTGAAAGTAATAACACGGTTTCTTTTATATCGTCTGCTCTGATGTGGCAGTTAAGTGCAAATTACTCAACAGCAAGAAGGGGAAAAGTATTTGACGTGTTTTTTTTTTCCCTTACATCGCCAACAGCATCTTGTGGTAGAAAGCAAAGTTGTTGTTACATAATGGGTTGTGTCACTGCCTCTATGGAGCTATGGCATGCATTGAATTGCCTATAATTGGGATAATTGTGTGTGTTTTTGTTTTGCTGAATGCTTAGTGACCCCTAGACACAGATGCTAAAATATAGTTGGTTATGTCTTTAGCTTTTTACCTTGCCTTGATTTTGTTTGACTTGTGGCTGATCCAAAATCAGTTTGTGCTATGTTTTTGTTTTCACTGGCAAAAGTTTAGATTCCTCTTTTGGGAAGGTGTCTAGGAGGTTATTCCAGTTAATGAATATGTACAGAATACTGAATAAATGTACTATTGTTTATTTATGTTGTTCTTGTTTTGATGAAAGTCTTTCAACAAGCAAAGCATTCCTTCCTACAGTTTGTCATCAGTGCCTGGTAGTTTGAGGTGTGATGGGTGTGTTCCAGCCATATTAATCACAGTGTTGATTTCCAGTTGATAGTGTTGAATTGATTGACTCAGGAAAGCTGATAGCAAGAGTAAGAGTCAATATAGCTTTGTTTACATTTCATCTGTACCAGGACTAGCCTAATCTGATTTCCATTTGCTTTTATTGAGCGCAGTTCTTTGGTCCATTCCTACAACAGAGCAGTGAGACGCAATAACTTTTGATGCTTCTCAAATTGCGGTGTGGGACCCATTTGTTTCCATTGTGATACCCAGGGTATATTTGACAAATGTAGTCAGTACTACTTACTTATACAGAATTTGAACATTGAGCATTCAGCAGTGAAGTGTAGACCACAGATTAGTCCTGATTTAACCTTGGTATGGATTTTAAAGGTACACTAAATAACTTTTTTGGTTGAGGGTATACCAGCTTTTTGTTTCCATGGAGTTGTTTTTAGTTTTGCCCAGAATGTTCCACAGCAAGCCATATAATTTATCTATCTACATAGAAAAAACGAGATGCCATCGGGCCAATTACACGTCATATCTGTTGCAATAAAAAGCGAGATTTATATGTTAGATTCCTGGGAAAGTGATGACACCTCCAGGGAAACAAGAAAGTAGTGGACCCCCCAAGAAAAGTTACTTAGTACACCTTTATTTTTTGATGTTGCCTCAATAGTTCATATCTTACTCATTAGACTGTGGTTAATAATCATAAACTATCTGAGTTAGTCCTACTTGTTGCCCATTGATTTGATTACAGAATTCTTGCCAGGTTAAATTGCCCCAAATGTTTGAGGACCACTGTATTAGTTCTTTGCCTTCTAGTTATTGAAACATCTTTTATTATGGAGTCCTGTTCCAGAGCAGGGCTGGACCTCGCTCTCCTGGCTCTGTGTGTGTATTGGGAAAATTCCCCTAGTAAGAGGATTCAGTAGTGTTCTTTGGCAGGACAGAGCGCTTCGACTGATTCTTATCGCTGATGTTACATGTCTGTTGTTGGACACTGGCTGTTTGGCCGGTGCAGATAAGAAAGAAGATGTATGGCCGCACACTTATTGCACTTGGACTTGTGCATTGGTGTGCGCTTCTGTGTCGTTGTGTGTATCTGAGTGTGTGTGTTGCTCTCCTCTAAGTTCAAAGAGAAGTTGTGAGTCAGCTGGAGCCTGGGAAAAGTGAACCTGGCACTGGCAGTCTGATAACACTGAGAAGTTATGGAGTGTGAGTGAATGGGGAGGCATGCTCACTCTCTCCTCTCTCCCTCCCTGTTTCCCTCTCTAGTCTCTCTCTTTCTTTCCTCTTTCTCTCTCATTCCCTCAACTCTTAGTCTCTCTCTCTGTCCCTTTTCCTTTCTGTTTCTCCCCCCTTTCTAACCTCTGTATCTGTCTCCCTCTCTTTATCTCTGGAAGCACTTATTTTGTCCAAAACATACCCATAACAGAGGCTTCTTGTTAGATAGAGAAAACTTACAGCCCCTTGAGACTGGCTTTGATAACATAATCTGGAATATAAATTCTTGTTAAGTAGTTGTGACCAATACATCAATACTCCAATGTCTCATATGTTAATAATGAATAGATCTAAGATTTTTTTTTTTTAAGCATCATTGTCCTCTATGTTAACACAGTGTTTCTAATACCATTGCCCTAATTCAGAATGTTTTTTTTCTGCGGTGTAGAAATAGGAATTACAAGTCAAATGAGTATGAAAAGAAAGTAATGCTTCCTTTATTGACAAGCAGAGCTGCAGTTAGTTGTCATTGCTTTCACGTGACAGAAATGGTTATACTTTTCTGTTGAAATTAATAAGAAATAATAAACAGTAACTGAAATTAAAATCATATATATCATTGTCTCGATTGACACTTCTATGTAAAGCCAGTGCCATGTGTTGTAATTATGATATTGCAGAAATTATAACTTTATTTGTCAGAGGTGGTGATCAAAACTGTGTAATCGCTCCCAAGTTGAGACAAGTTTTAAATGGTTCCCGCTAAGGGTGTGTTGTTTTATTCACAGAGCCAGAGATCTATTAAACATTATGTGTTATGACAGCAGTCCATCCAGATTGACATATGATTATTTTTCACTCTCCTGGTGAGAAGATTTGATATGCAAAGCAGGCATACCTAGTATTTGGATTATTCTCGCAAGTGTTGAGTCGTTAAAGTCATTGCCTAAACACAGTGAAGCAAATATCAATAAATCAAGCCATTTTTAGTTCACTGGAGGCTTACTAATCGATGATGTATATCACAAGACATTTGGCATTTTTTTATGACAAAATAATGAAACTGTTATTCATAGCAAAGTTTCACAATACTTACAATATTGTGGTTTTCCAGTTAACTTCCTGTTTTGAAACCTTTGTCACATATGTGGGATTTTATAAGTTGACCCTCCCAAATAATCTTGTATAGACCCAAGAAGGAACAAATGGTGAAATCCCCCAAATTCTCCAGGCCACATGTATTTGTCTTCACAGCAGAGGCTTTTGCTGGCTAAGCATTAAGCGCCAGACCTGAACTTGATACTGTTAAGCGCTCGGAGGGGAAGCGGAGGCCTCGTGTTAGTGGTGTTAATATAGCTGGCTGTAGGTTGTAGTGTTGTGCATTGATGAGGTATCACATTGCCACATGACTGCCTTTCTCAAGATCTGCCTCAAGTCATTACAGCCAATTATGAGTCCGAAAATACCATAGTTAGGAGAGTCTTATATTAAACGATAGCTTGTGATTAGAATGGAAAATGGGCAAACAGATGGTTGCTTTGTTATTGGTGGAAAGTTAAATGTGAGGATTAATTGCAATTATTTAGGGGATTTCATGTTCTGTGTAAACAAACAAAATATGCCATTTGTTTGGGGTCTATTCAGAATAAATCTTTCTAACTAATTTATATCTCTACAAACACATTCGGAAATGTGACTCTTGTATCTACATGTTTAAAATGTGCACCAGGTCTTGAGTTTACAAAACATATTAATTGCAATATAAAAAACGACAATGCTCAGTATTTTTCAGAATTGTTCAGAGTCATATTAGCTTGATTGCAATGGAAAACTGGCAAAGGCTAAGATGCTTGCTTTATTAAAAAAGTTGGAAATTTGAATGCTTGACAAAATAAGGTAAAAATGTTTTGCAGTGCGTCATGCCCTTTTCCTGAGAAGAGTCGCACAGGGGTTTTCCTTGAGCAGGTCTGTTTACAGTGAAGTCATTGCCGGTTGCTATGTCAGATTTCTGTCGTGCCTCTGAGCAAGAATAGGGAGCTGGGATATTAAAAGAGTAGCTTTCTTTTGGTAACAAGACACTTGTCACCAACGCATAGGTCTGTCACTGTAACATATTTTAATATTATCTGATAAACAATGATATGCCAACTACACAATAACCCTAATCCTGTAAACGTTTTTTAGCAAAACATAAATAGCACAAATAAACTCTTAAGTCGTTCATTCTAGTATTTACAAAGTGTTGTAGATGTTGTTTATGTGACCAACTACAGCCTAAATGTTATTATATAGGCTTAATAAAAGTGCAGACATTATGAAGTAGGTATTAATCATGAAAATGTATTGGTCTGTCTATCATATATTGAACAATAAGTCGATATAGTAATTGTCATGACAGGCCTACCAGCGCATACTTTCTCCCTGATTCCACAGACACATTGTTCACTTCCCCGTGACTGAGGAGTGAATGTGTAAGACGATACTGGTGTGAGCGCTACCGACCCCGAATCAGACAAAGCGTTTTGGGAGTGCTGAAATCAAGACAGGCCCTCCCGAGTGGAGTTCATTCAGCCCAGCTCTCTGCCCCGTCGGCCCTGCCATCTCCCCCTCGTCTTTTGTCTCATTCATTTCATATAAACCTGTTTATTGTAGTTTTATTTTTCTACCTCAAAGCTGGTTTTCGCCTTCCTTTTAGAGGCCTACAAATGAGCATGAAATTAGAAAACCCATACACATTGTAAAACAGCGGTGTCTGAGAGAAATGGCTATCTTCCACTGCCTAGTCTCACCACATTTCATAAACATGTGGAAAAACTGTATTTGGGGGAAAGTGTTACCGTGGTGGAGACGAAGACATGGTTTTGGCACTTGAGATCCTTTTTTTGTTCACTATGTTTTTATTTTGACGGCTCATTACTCCAGGGATTGTTGAGCAGCTTTACTACAGTGTTTTGATTCATCTGATTCGTCCAAACCAGATTGTGCTCCTGATGTCATGAGGCCTTAGTCACCTTGTCTATTTTGCATTGTTCTACAAAGTAGTTAAATGTGTCGAGACCTTTGTAGGCACTCATTTGCATGGTTACTAGTCTACAAACAAGGGAAAGAGGTTTTGTCTGGCAGCTAACCCACGTTGTCTCTTCTCTTGCAGAGGTCCTACACTTTGATAGTGGAAGCCTTGGACTTCAGCAATGAGACCAGTGGTGAGTATTGTCCTCATCTGCCTTCTCAATCTCCTCTCCCTGTGCTCTGTCCTTCCTCTTGCTCTCACTGAAGTCTTGGAGGAGTCGTGTATTGAAGGTCAGAGGAGGAAATTTATTGTTCCTGCAGACCCAGGTCCCCTCTCTGGGTCCTCTGGGTGTGAGTGCATCCGTGAGGGGAGTGTGTGCTGACAGGTACCCGAGCAGAGAGCTCTGAGGTGGGACAGGGCTGCAGACAGAGAGGAGGAAGTCTGGATGTGGGGGGTAGGAGGGTATATCTGGGCCCGCTGTTCACTATGAAAATGTTTTCATTGGGCTGATGACTGATGGCAGGTGCTGCCAGCTGGGGTCAGGGTCACACTGTCTCACTGTCACTGAGGCGTGAAGCAGAGCTCGCCGGGCGCTGCCACAGGCCGATGGGGGGGCATGGGGAGGCACTGTCTTTAGGTTAAAGTTACCTCCGACACAGGTGGACCTCTGCTTCACACGAATGCTACACTCTGAGTTTATCTGTGAAAGCTGTGGTTGTACCTCTCATGTATGTGGGAATAGCACTGCAGTCTGAATTTGAATCTAACTTTTATTTTATTTGGTGCGGCAGAGCGGTTGTGGAGCAGTGATCCCAGCTCAGGGAGGGCTCTATCCTGCTTGTTTATGCAGGTCTGTTCGAGGTCATCAAGGTTTCGGTCTTTTCTGCTGTATTTGCCGCTCCCCAGAGAGCTATTAGGGCACTGGTGTGAAAAGCCCCTGAATGTACACACTCACTGCTGGTTAAGCCCCCATGAGCAGCACAGGCTAGCTCCCAGCGCTGTTAGTCTCATACGTAATTTTTTCTCTTCTGTTGATTAGATAAACATTAAAACATTTCATACATTAATCTGACATAACTTGAGTTGTGTTCCCCATTTGTAATCTACTGAGGAATGCATTTAAAAGCTTGCATTTGTTGTAAGACATAACCGCCCTCTGCTCTGCTTATTGATAGTTTTACTGCCAAAGTGGGGTCTTAATGACTTTATGAAGCTTGTCTGAGTCTGCGTTTATGTTTATCCTGGGCCAGGCAGCAGGTAGTAAGGACGTGCTACTCCCGGCGCCGCGGGCCAGCAGTCGGTAGAGAAATGCCTCACACCCGAGCGTTGGCCTCCAGATCAATGTGAAATGTGGCCGGGCACTGTGATTTCTGCTCGCTCTATCCACTACATTGTATGGGCCTCAGAACAGCAAATATAAGACTTGTGTAGCCTCCGTGTCTCTCTTCATCGCTCACTCCCTCGTCTTTAACTCTCTGTCTCTCCTCTCCTTTACTCCTTACCTCTGTCCCTCTCCTCCTTCATCCATTTCTCCCCTTTATGTCTCGCTCTTCTCGCTCTTTCCTTCACTCCCTAGCTCCCTCTCTCACAATCTCTCTCCCACTCTTTGACACACTCTCTGCCTGCTCTGGCTTTCTGTCTCTCTTCCTCCTCCTCATTCTCTATCTCTCTCTCTTTTACTTACTCTCTCGCTCACTCCCGTGCTTTTCCTCTCTTTTGCTTCGTCCTTCTATCTTGCTTTCTCTGATTCTCTCAATTCCTCTTGCTCTCTTTTTCTCCTTCTCTCTCTCTCTCTCTCTCTGTCTCTCTCTGTGGGTCATTGCATCATACTACACTGTGGGGCGATTCACCTAGCGGTCAGTTACCTCTGCTTGGCCGTGCTTGGTAAATAACTGGTGTGACACATTTTTCATTCGCTCCCAGGTGGAAGATTTAGAAAGCAAGTAGCAAGTGCTGGAGTGTGAGTGAATGAGCTGTGTTAATGTGTGGGGCTTGTGTGAGTAGTACCACCAACTAGACTGTACATTGTATCCAAAAAGTATCGTTAACACAATAAATATGAAGACCTTGAACTTTATCTCAAGAAACCTTAGAATATTTGACATTCTCTCAGATTTAGCAAGTTTTAATTCTGATTTAGTCTTTGTTCAACTTCAATATTGACCTAGCTTATATCCAGTAGAATCACATCAGTCAATAGTGATGCTTAGATTTCTAATTACCCTCTCATTGTTATTGCAGTATTCAATAGTCTGCTTTCCTTGTATTGTGCAGTTGTAGTGAATACAGTGTCTGGGCCTGTGACAGCCATGTTTGCTCAGTTTAAGTGTGTTTGCTGTTAGTTGAGCTCATTACGGCTCTCTGCTCCTGCTCAGCCTTTGCCCATTCACCAGAGCCATGACCTCGTCCGTGTTTGCCCAACTAAAGAAACCTTTCCCCAGCCCCATCTGTACTAAATCATGCATTATGGAGCAGCACTGTCCCTGTAAAGTGTAACTGGTGTGAAAAGGCCCAGGGTATTTTGACTGGGGACAAGAATGCATGTGAGAACTGAGGCTCTGGGGTGAAAGTGCTGATGGTCCTGTGGCGGACGTCCCAGCACTGGTGTCTACAGACTGTAATTTATGGCTGCTGTGGTTGTGTCCGTGCCTGTGCAAATGCACGGGGCAGTGTCAATGCAAGAACTGCAATATCCCTGAGCGGTAAACCTGAGAATGAGAAAACAGAAGAGACTTGGATGAAGAAGGTCTGATTTTTATATTACATTGTGTGAATTTCTTGGCTGATCTAAGGTAAACGTAAATAATATGCGAGTTTACAAGAGGACATGAGGCAGAGCAGTCAGTGCAAGTTGGTTTTGTGTTTGATTCTCTTGTGAAAGTGAATCAGTAACCTTTAAATGCTTGTTCATGGTTTGTGTACATTTAACTTGTTGTATGATGACAAAGTTTTTAGTTGTTTTTTTTTATGATTATCTGGGAGCATATTTGACTGTTTCTATAAAGGCCAGAAAGACTAAGTGAATTAATTGTGAACAGCATTGTCAGTAAAATATCAATGGTAAAATATCAATTCAATGACTTGAGGTTGAACAGCGTCAATTTGTCTTAAATATTGTATAGAAACAAGGTACAACAACAAATGATTCAGAAGTTAAACAGTTAAATTGCAAGTTGAAAAGCATGGCTACTTTGGTATCACCTTTACAAAGAAACATGTGGTAGTATCAGTGTAAAAAGCAGCAATAACCCTAAGCCAAGAACCTGAGAATCAGAAATGAAATAGATTTGAAAAAGAGAGCGTGAGAAAAAAAAAAGTTAAAGTTCTCATTACAGCCGGCCTATCTCTTTTTCTCCATTTCTTCCTTGTACGTCTCATCCAACACACACACTTGCCTTAATTACATATAATCTAGTATCTTGGTGATCTTCTGCAATTTGTGTAAGCATATTTTGGTTTCTCTCCTTTAAAACTCTTCCTATTCACCAGATTCATTCCTCTTGTCTTCCCAAACATGTAATGATGATGTTAAATTGTGTGTTTTAGGTACTGATGGGAGATTGATAGCAAAGGCGTCTCTCTCTGGAATGATAAACCCAAGCCCTCAGTGGCAGAAGCTCACTCACCCTGGACCCCCAGCTCAGTTCGAGTACCAGATTCGCGTCAGCTGCGATGAACACTATTATGGATTTGGTTGTAATAAATTTTGTCGTCCGAGGGATGAGTTTTTTGGACACTACACTTGTGATATCAATGGGAACAAGACATGTCTCGAAGGCTGGTCTGGACCTGACTGTACCACAGGTAAGCTCTCATCGTACTAGTCAAACAAGCTGGGTATTAGGTATGGGACAATATTGATTTGTTTTCTCGCAGTTATCATGGATTATCAAGGATATTTGAAGTGACATTTACAATTTCTTATTATGAATAATATGTAATAATTTATTAACCTTTATTTAACCAGGTAAAAAAAAAACATTGAGATCGTAATCTCTTTCTCAAGGGTGATGTTGGCATAAATAAGTTCTGTGTTTAAACAACTAGTGGTATTGTAGTAATTATCTTTGTTCCTCCAACAATAATTGCCTTCCTTTTTATTATTGATGTTGTTATGTTTATTGTCCCATCCCTATTGTGTATAAAGGCAATGTTAATTGTTACCTTAGAATTAGACATGTATTCAAAATAAATTATATTAAAAAAAATTATAATAATTAAAAAATAATAATTGCACGGGCATTTCATTCCAAACATAAAAGGCACAATAGCTTAATGAAATCATATCCTTATTTTATATTTAAAAATACTGAAACCAATACAGGTAACAAATACTGTAGGTGGACACAGGTTGCACACAATGTATAATTATGAAAGAATTATTTTCTCAAGGCTTAGACTAAAATAACTCATGAAATCCAATCATTGAACTTATTAAGCATTGATTTCACCCAGATATAATTTTTGGTGATGTGCCACATAAACAACAAACAAAAAGTCTTGGTAAGTACTAGAAAATATGCCAAGAGTTTTGTAGAACTCCTAGAAGTACAATTTTCTCAAAAACATTACTCAAGTAAATGTTAGACAGTAAATTGCTCATCACGGCCACTTCTAGTTCCCAGTATTTTGTAGATGACCTTATGAAGAGCCAGATTTTCAGACTGATACACTGTCGGCTGCTTCCTGCTTCTCAATAGCCACTTTGTTCATAAATTTTTCTTTTTTTTTCCACGCCACAGGAATTAGACTTTTATTAGACATTGAGCTATGAATCGTGGCATATAGTGAGGACTTGTTGACAACAGTGTTTATTTCCTATGGTTGAAAAAAGAGGGAGTTATTTTCATTTACTGCTGCAATCAAGAAATGCTTAAAACTGAGTCAGTCTCAGCTGTAAAATAAATTCTTATTTCTTTTTTTATTTGTAGCTATCTGTCGACAAGGCTGCAGCACGGAGCATGGGTCCTGTAAAGAGCCAGGCGGCTGCAGGTAAGTGATACCTTGAATACCTTCTTCATGTTTTGATCTGGAAGTTGTAGCTTTTATGTATTTGTAAAAGTTATGTTCAAATAGCTATGTAATTGTATGGAGTTGATTTGAACAAATTGCAAGTTATGTCCAGCCACAATTAGAAGCTCAACCTTTTTAGTTTGTATATTTATCATAGATGCTTTGTTGCTTGGTCCCAATGTTAAACACATACGTTCAAATCTTATCAGTTCAATCTTGCACAGCATTCGGATGAGCCTCTGAGTGTATTGTTTGTGTAGCTAATGGCTTCCTAATGCTGTTTTCACACACCGCCGGAGGAAAGGTTGGAGCAGATGGGGATCCAGGATCGTGTATTGTTAGCTGGTCCAGTTGTGGGCCTTAAAATGAGAGTTATCACTTTGTTAATTGCCTGATCTGGTTGTGAATAAAATGCAGGGTTGATTGGGTTTATTCGTTTCTGCTGCGACTGTGTTGTTTTTCCCAAGCCTTTGACATCATCAGGTTTCTTGTAAGTGCTTGTGTGGCCACTGGCAGAACACAGAGTTTGAATTTCTGTAGTCTGTGCACAGGTGTGGTTACATTTGGAGCTTTTGGTTTAGCTTTGTTTATATGCACCGTGCCAGAAAACTCCTCAAGCAAGCTCTCCTACTGTTGCTGCAGTGAGCACTTTCCCATGATAGAGATAACAACCTGTAATGTTATTTTAAACATAAACTTGTGCTAATGAAGTGTATTGCTGCTTGCCCTAAAGACTCTGGAGTGGTGTGATCCACGTCTCACTGTTGTCAGGCAGAATATCTTTCATACTTGAGCTGAGACATTTGTGTGCTGCATAATCTAATGTGCTGCTCAGTAATTTGGCTTTGTAATGATTGTAGATGATTTAGGATGCTGTCGCTGAGAGATGTGCTTCTCATGAGAGGATTAGCGCACTTTTAAGAATAGCTGCTTTAATCACAGACTGAGGTTTACTTAACCATGCGTTTATTTTTACAGTGCGTCCGTTTCTCGGGGCTAATCAGTGCACCGCTTCCCCAGAGGGACACAGGGTTTCCTGCACTCAGCTCTGCTCTACTGTAGCGCCACTTCACCACCTTTTAACAGCAGACTTATCAGCAGACTGCATTGCTGTCTTAATTATGGAGGTCTGGAAGAGAAGGGCAGCACTATCAGTGTAATTATGGCCCTGGACGTTTTAGAGCCAGAGAGCTCCCTTCTCGGCCTCCAGGCACAGCCTGACTCCTGACTCATGGGAACCAGGATGAGCTGCAGAGACTCCAGCGCAACCACTCTGATGGTGCGACTGCCAAGCCACAGGCATGGCCTTGTTAAAGAGAGTGTCTTGCCGCATGCTAATGTTGTGCTATAGGTCCCCTTAGAGCAGTAATATTTAGTTTTTAATGCTGTGTTTAAAATGGTAAATAATATTCCTATTCTCTGTTCCAAACCATTGTTTTTAAGCTGTTGCATAAAAGCACTGCTACTTAAGTTTCATTTGTGGTCCTTTTAGTCTCAGGCCTGTTGTGAACAGCCTGTTCTTTCATCAGCACAGCTCAGTGCTGCATACTGTATGCTAATGTTGGTTCATTAGGTTCAGATTATTGCTGCATTATTTAGAAGGATTTTGGAGGAAACAGCAGATTAGAGTGTTTCAGCTGCCCTGGGATCTTGTGAACGTGGTGTGATAATTTTATGTTTGCTCTAACGTTCCTCATAGCAGCAGTAGCAGACGGTTATGCCTCCTCCGCTGTGAGCTGAATGGTGCTTGTGTTGCAGGTGTCTGTACGGTTGGCAAGGCCAGTACTGTGACAAGTGCATCCCTCATCCCGGCTGTGTCCACGGCACCTGTGTGGAGCCCTGGCAGTGCCTCTGTGACACCAACTGGGGCGGTCATCTTTGTGATAAAGGTTAATCTTCTCTTATTTCAGTTGCACTTTTAAAAGGAGTGGCCTGTGTTGTGTCAAAACAAACTAAGCGTGTGTGAAACTTTTCCAGATCTGAACTACTGCGGCACTCACCAGCCCTGTCTGAACGGAGGGACATGCATCAACACAGGACCAGACAAGTACCAGTGTACTTGTGCTGAGGGCTACTCTGGAGCCAACTGCGAGAGGGGTAAGAGGCATGACACCAGATAACGTCAGCTCCACATACATACATCTATATATGCGCCTCACTTGTTTCAGTGATCAAAGAAACTAGGTCGTTGTCTTGTCACACATACATTAATTTGAGTGTTAATCCAAATTACTAATACCTTACGAGACCAGTTTCGGGGCAATGTGTGTCAGACATCTTGAGGTCATATTATATTATCCATTTGTGTTCTGTTGTGCGCGCAGCCTAAAGGTCAGAGGTGAGCGAGTGTGTAATGAGAGAGGCGATAACTCGTCCATAATCTATTTTCACTGTGGCCTGAGTGCCTCCAAATCAGTTAATCCTCCGTTTTGATCTTAGGGCTCCGGTCATCTGTTCATGTCTTAGGTATTTCACAGACAGATGGGTGCGGTGCTGAGGAGATGATGGACTTTTCCTCATTAAATCTCAGACTGGCTGGGTGCTGACAGCTTAACTGCGGAGATGTCAGGAAACGGTGAACTTAGTAACAGGAGGTCTGAGACGAGGAGTGCGTCAGGCTATTGTGGAGTAAGGGGCCCCAGCTCTGCATCCTCTGCCTCCTCGGTGTAGACCCCTTTAGGAATTATATGTTAAGAGTTGTACAAGATGTTTTTATCCGAGGTTTTACATGACAGAAATTGAGTATTCTTATAAATGTATAGCACCTATATCTTTATACTGTTAATAGCTATCTGAAAAGGCATCTGAAACTCATGGATTAAGCCAATCCATATTTTTCTGATGCTACTTGTTTTGCCATTTTTGGGCCAGTGTTAAATTCAGAAAAAGCATTAATCTCTGCGTGGGTGTTTTTTGGTGCCATTCTTTGGAGCGTGGTAGATTTGTTTACAATTACTTAAGAGTCTGTATCTTAGTAACCACCTCCTCTGCTGCACACCTCAGACGTTTAGGTATTCCTTTAGTAGATCATTCATTTTTGAACCAAGTAAGACCCGCTCATCCTTAAATTCTCCCGCCAAACTCTCAACTCGGGCTCAAGAACGGCGGTGAGTGAAGAGGGAAGTCACGGTGCGTTGGTCAGGTCAACTTAGCATGAAAGATGATTTCCTGGTGGTGTGGTCTGTCGCGCGGGTCATCAGAGTGAGATAGGGGGAATTTGAGCGCATTTGGGGCTGAGGGAGGAGGGCTGTGAAGAGATGGGAGTTGACCTCTGAGTTGGATTCACTTGGGAAGGAGGATGGGGTTTCTGAGATGGAACCTGGAGAGAAGAAGTATTTTTAGGAGTTTAGTAGACCACAAGATGGATTATTTTCTAATGAAGTGAAAAAACCTGTGGAGAAAAAATTAATGGTATCATTTATACCAAGTATTTTGTGATTTAACCACTGTAGATAAGGCAGATATTTTTTCTCCATGTTTTAGGGCCAGTATAACCATAGACAAATTATGCCATCCTAAAATTGATCTGGATTATTATCCTTGTAACCAGAGCAAGTCATCTGCCATTATGCTGTAGCCATTTCAGATGACATTGGCATTCGTATTATCTGATCTTGGGACTCAATGTGCTCTCTCTGTGATGAGTGCATATAACACTAAGGACTTGTTTGAAGAATTTTATGAGCACACTTGCTTTTAGAGCAGGCTTAGTCATTACTCAGCCTGTTTCATGTCTCAACATCAAAATGCATCGGGGTGTATTATGTTAATGATTTTACAGCTTTAAATACAGACTGCACAGCGCCAATTTCAATCCAACATAATTCATTCTAATTATGTTAAAATCGAGCATTAATCATAAATAGACTAAATGGGAGTATTTTTCCCACTGTTGGATGAGTCAGATGGGTGTGTTATTTTGACCTGTTGTTTAAACTGTCTTTCTGGTTGTAGCTGAACATGCCTGTCTGTCCAACCCGTGTTCAAACGGAGGGAGCTGCTCTGAGACCATTCAGGGCTATGAGTGCCAGTGTGCAGCGGGCTGGAGTGGGTGCTCCTGCACTATCAGTAAGACTTCAACCATTAACTCAGCGCAAACCACACAATAATTACTCTGTTAGACTCACCTCATTTACTTTTATAATATATTACAGACTAGTTGTAGTTTTATCAGAATTAGGGTTATCTTGAGGTATACTCCCACTTTAGTTTATTTATGTTTTGTTATATTTTCAAAATTCTGATCTTGTGAAAAAGCGAGACTTGATAATGAGTATTCTGTACCTTATTTATTTATTTATAGTTCCATTTCTACAACAGATTTTAATTAGACATATAATTATATTTATATAAATTATTCTTTACAGCACATTATATTAAAATTTTACACACTTTTGGTTATCAACAAACTTAATTATGAATTTTTAATTCTGTGCAGATGTGGATGAGTGCTCTCCCAACCCCTGTGGCCATGGAGGGACCTGCCAGGATCTAGTGAATGGTTTTAAGTGCCACTGTCCTCCCCAGTGGTCTGGAAAGACATGTCTGATTGGTGAGCCTGTCTTTCCTATTGTCTACCTCAATTATATGCATACAGTACATCTCTTTTATTTATTTATTTATTCACCTTCTTTTTTTAGATGCAAATGAATGTGAAAGCAAACCATGTGTCAATGCTAACTTGTGCCGTAACCTGATTGGTGGATACTTTTGTGACTGTATGCTTGGTTGGACGGGACAAAACTGCGATATCAGTGAGTGCAGAGTTGTCATTTCAAACTTCTTCTCTATGGAGTTAAAATGCTATTCATAGGTATCAGCATCATGTTTATTGGTGCCGTTTTGAGTACAGATGTCCTCTGCAAATAGTTCTAGATTTATAGTTTAATGGGTTTTAGTGTGTTGATTGTTTAAACATTGTTATAAAGCCTGTCTAAAACTTACTCCAAATGCATAGTCCAAACATTTGAACAAGTGTTGCCTTTCTTACAGTGTAAACGGTGTATCATTATAAAGTAGTGCAGGGGCCAAGGCTGCGGAGATTAGAGGTGGTTTAAAACAATCCCACGACTAGTTTCACTTGGCAGCAGACAGGATTGTGCAATACTGTGTTGCACTCACTTTTACCCTATGTTATTCAACTGTTACTTAGTACACCATAGCCTCTATGGTAGCATTAAAAACCATGGGACACATAAAAGCGTGTTTGTTAAAAGGCTCTGTATTCAAGCCATTCACAGTTAATCCTCCTATTTGCGTGTGTTTTTCCAGATATAAATGACTGCAAAGACCAATGCCAGAATGGGGGAACTTGCAAGGTAGGTCCTTGTCATAAACGCCCATATCTTTCATATTTCATTGCATGTTTACCAGTTGTCTTGTTTGTCTAAATGTTCTTTTTGCCGAAGCATGGGATATTTACAGCGGTTGTATAAATAGACATTGTAAATTGTAGTCTCTGAAACTGACAGAGGAATTGTTGTGGAATTCCTCACTGAAATCAAATCTGGGGGGAGTGGGTTCAGACGGCTTTCGAAGGGAGGGACACACAAGTTCCTTGACCACACAAGATTGAATTACCATAAACATTATTGTCTTGAGTCTGTGCCAGGAAAATGTGTTGAAATAATTGTACAACTCTGATAATATTGCTCAAAACTAACTCACTTACAGCATACATGTCAGCTTTGCTTCACGGGCTTTACATGTATTGTTTGGATCACACAATTTCCTGTACAGTTTTATACAAGTTTAGCAGCCCTATATTACATTAATCAGACTTAATCGGGCTTTTTGAACTGTCTTGAACTTGTCACAATGTTGTTATCTCATCAAATACCTGGAGCTGGGTTTTGTTTAATTTACAGATGTTTAAGCAGTAGGTTCATATTTAAAATGACAGTTTTATGTTGTTGGGAACAAGCCTTCGTTCATTTTGTGGGTTGCATCAGAAATGACATCCAACGTAAATCGATTGGAATGTAAAAACTAATTGTGCATATGACTTCATACTAGGAGTCAGACAAAGTTGAGGTAATCAGTCAATCATAAGAATCAGAATAAACTTTTAAAATTTTAATTTCTACTGTTTTCTGTTTACCCCTCAGGACTTGGTGAATGGATATCGCTGTGTGTGTCCCCCTGGTTTTGCTGGTGAACATTGTGAGCGGGACATCGATGAGTGCTCGAGTTCTCCATGTTTGAACGGTGGACGATGTCAAGATGAAGTCAACGGATTCCAGTGCCTTTGTTTGGCTGGCTTCTCAGGGAATCTATGCCAGGTAAATGAAACCAATATAACGCTTTAGCACACAATCATGCAGGCAATTTGCTTGGGTTTTTCGTTGTCCAAGTATGATGAATGTACATTTTCAGTTAACTTGTTGGACTTTGTTGGACTAAAGATGCACTATATAATTTTTCTGGTGAAGGATTTGCCACGGTTAGACAACCTCGCTCATAGTAAGAACATGTGCTTTTCAATTAATTTTTGAGCACTAAAAATACCTGCAATAGAATGAATACTTAAAATATGTTTAATGCCATACTGTGCAATATTCCAGACAAAGCACCAACATTTCTCGGAAGACAAGCAGGATGCTCTCAACTAGAAATGTTACACCTTTAAAATCTTGCAGTCTTAAACTTCCTTTGACCACTGTACTGATCATTGTGGCTCAGTTTTATTGTCTTTTGTCTCATGTCTTTAGAGCAAAATTTAATTAATATAAAATGTATTACACTGGGATGTCCTGACTCGAAGCAGGCTGTTTTCATCCATCCATTAGACCTCTTTGTCCTGTATCTTTGGATCCCTTGTAAAGTTTTCCTGCCCCACCCTGTAAATGTCTGTTGTTCCCAGTCCTGGTTTTAAAAAGGGAGTGCTTTGTTGAATCTGCTCCTGGCTCTACAGCGGGATACATTCTTCCACACTGAAGCCTCGAGGTTGAAGACGGCTCTTGTGTCTTTGCCTTATTTTTCCTTCTTCCTCCGAGTGTTGTGCGTGTGCTCTTTCCTGGCACGGCCTGTAGGGAGGATGCTGTGGGTTCTGCTCTGTTTAGTGTAGCAGAAACTATGTCAGCTATCAGGTTCACCGCTTTATCTCATTGAAAGATTCCCAGACATTTCACATGGAGGAATACCTTAAACAGGGTTAATGCTATACAAGACCTGTGTATATCAAGGCAAAGGCGAGTCTAAAACAGGATTAAAATATGATGTATTTAGGAAAGACAGTATTAACCCAGTAACTTTTCTGGTGGAACATTTGCCACCTGCTTGTCTCATGACAAACAAGAATGTTATTACTTATCTTACTTACTTATTTATGCAGTGAAGCACTTTTATTACACCCCCGAAAACTTGGTTTGGTGGAGTCACCTGCTTGTCTCCATTTTGTGAACTAAACTGGATGTAAACAAAAATGAACATTTAAAAAACTTGGAACCAAACACTCAAAAAATTGAGATACCATCTCTGTTACCTGTAGCTCAGTTTTAGAGCTATTGCTAAAATTTCCATGCATTTCTCTCTCCTTTTTAGCTGGATATCGATTACTGCTCACCCAATCCCTGTCAGAATGGGGCTCGCTGCTTCAACCGGGCCACAGACTACTACTGCTCCTGTCCTGAAGACTATGAGGGCAAGAACTGCTCTCATCTCAAAGACCATTGTAGGACCACCACTTGTAAAGGTATGTTTATTTTCTAATGTTATTCCAACTTGCTCTCTATAGATGAATTTTTGGTTCATACTGAAGCTTTGTCCAATTATATGGGTGCTAGAATAACAGATATTTTTATTGGTAGTTTATCTAATTCTTTTTGCTAATATATTTTGAAGAGGCATGGAATGGTTGCTAGTAAAAGTGGCTATTTTTGTGCAAGCTATATTCATGGGGAAATAAACAAGCTTGTGCGTTTAGGGGAGATTGGCAGTCAATAGGAGAAAATGTGGGATGTGTTTGTCTGATTCCTAAAGGGATAATAGTGCTCAAATTATATTAGGTTTGCTCTAAAGTTTCTTGGCCTAGGTGTGCAGTTTTGTGTATCCCTGTTAAATTCCTGGGTAAAGCTGTTTGAATGATGCTTTCCTAAAGATCTGGCATAGGTTGATACTCTGTGTGTGTTCTGTGTAATGACTTGGTGGGCTCCGTCTTCTTTTCCCCCTCACTGAATGTGCACAGTTAGCTGCACCAGTGTGTGTGTATGTGTAATTGAGTGAGTGGACCAACCACTGAGCTAGATACCAGACGGTGAGATTCGCGCTGCTTTTGGCAAGATTCAGGCGATTATTGCAAAGCGTCGTTGTGCGGCCATCCTAACCCGATCAGACAGGGGGAAAGGAAAGGATTTGTGCATAAAGTGAAGGAGATCTCTCTGACTTGACTAGGAAAGCATAAAGGCTTATCGCTGTTACATCTATCAATCACTAGTCATGTTTCCATCCCATGTCATGTGATACTTTGTCGGTGGTTGTAGCAAAATTACGTAATTTTCTTAAACCTCCTGAGCTGAATGTGTATGATTGCATCGCTAAGTAGAAGAAATGGTTTCCTGCTTTTCAAAAATACATTTAAGCTCAACTTATCTTCAATATAGTATATTTACAACAATCTATTTGACTATTTTGTGCCATTTCATGCCAGAGGAGATTTGTTGGAATAGTAAAATGCACTTTATTGTAAACCAGCAGTTCCCAAAGAGGGGGGTGTGAAGGGGCACTGAACTGGGGTCTCGAGATGATTTAATGTCAACTTACAATTAATAATTACAATGTAATAACTAAAACAATATATTCCTGTGAATTTTGTTCCAGTAACAATAAATCGAGACTAGAGATGGGAATGCTGGAAACTATGATTTGGGGCTGTATAAACCATGTATATATTTGTATTCTTTTGTGTATGATATAACACCTAATCTAGAAAGGAATGTAGTTGTCAGTATATGTTGGCCCTTAAGCCTGTAGTGTGAATTCATTGATGAAACACCTTTTGATGTCAGGTGTTTCATGTCAGAAAAATAATTGAAGCCATTAATGTTTTTTTCTCACATTTCCTCTGCACATCGGCCCGTGAAAGGTGTAAATTGTCATGTGAAATGGAGTGATAAACTCTTTTATGAGTGTGCAAACTCCCTGTAGTCAGTTGTGTAACTCTATTAACTGTCATTGCAGTGATTGACAGCTGCACTGTTGCTGTGGCGTCCAACAGTACTCCTGGTGGGGAACGGTACATTTCGTCAAATGTTTGTGGACCTCACGGGCGCTGCCGGAGCCAAGGGGGAGGACAGTTCAGCTGTGAATGCCAAGAAGGATTCAGAGGGACATACTGTCATGAAAGTATGTCTCTCACAATAGAATAACACCTACTAATATTGGCACCCTTAGATTAAATGTTTCTCAGTGTTTTAAAATGTGGATCTTAGCAAAAACAAAAAAGAAAAAAAAGAAAAAACTGATAACTGACAATTCTGATGAAAATGTGTGCTTTTTCCAATTCAAGACTTATGTTTCTCCTCAATCAGATATGAATTAGATGCATAGACAGTCTTTTGATCCACATGAACAAAAATTGAAAAATCATGAGGAGAATATTTAGGATATTTAATTTTATATTATCTAATTTTCCTTATTATTTTATTTTGCTAGAAAACTGGTTCCAGTGGCCCTAAAAATAGTTGTGTTTCTTTAGGTTAAAAAACCTCTCCAGGACTCTACATTGCCAGAGATTGTCAAGGTTGCCAATAATAGTGGAAAACATTGTAGATAAATTACGTTAATTTCCCAAAAACACTATTACTCAAGTTTTTATCTTTCTTACTTAGATATCAACGACTGTGAGAGCAACCCTTGTCACAATGGCGGCACGTGCATAGACAAAGTCAGTGTGTACCAGTGCATCTGTGGAGACGGATGGGAGGGCACCAACTGTGAGATCAGTAAGTAGGGCTTCGTGTTCTCTTTTGCTTTTGTGATACGTGATAAATTGGCCTGATCACGTGAACAACACTTAATCCATGTCGACGGCGGTAACCCTTTTGATGTTGTTTTTGTTGTGGTGAAGTCGTAAATCTCATTGCTTGTTTGACATGTCCCCCATTAGATATTGATGACTGCAGCACCAATCCCTGTCATAATGGAGGGACATGCCGGGACCTGGTGACTGATTTCTTCTGCGAGTGTAAAAATGGCTGGAAGGGGAAGACTTGCCACTCCCGTAAGACTTTTTCTCTACTTTTTAAAATCATCTGTGTTGTCTGCCTGTGCATGCTCTTGGTATGCGCTCATGGCTGTTTATAATTATTAATATGTTGTATGCTTATCCTCCCTTTGCCTTTCGTTGTTCTCGAATGTAACCCCGCATTTTTAACGGTGCCCTCAGGTGAGAGTCAGTGCGATGAAGCCACATGTAATAACGGAGGCACCTGCCATGACGAAGGTGATACGTTTCAGTGCAAGTGTGCCCCAGGATGGGAGGGGACCACCTGTAACATTGGTAAGTATTGATGTGTGACTTGACATTTAATGTTGACAGCTTGCCATATCAGCTTGGATGGGGATTTCCTAAGAGCCCTTACCACAACTGGTTTCTCATTTTTGGAAAGACGATCATCACAGTGCTTTTAATGATCATTTAATAAAGGTACAATATGTAAACTTTCTGGGCAGAAATGAACACTAATAAACATTAATTCAGTTAACAGTTTTTATTACTAAAACACCTTTAAAAGCAGACGAGCCACAGATTTGACTTGTAACTTGCTTGTCTTCATGGATATAGATAAGTTAAATGCTGCAATTTATAACATTCTAGGCAAAGAAATAACATTTCTAATCCTCAACCAGAAAAGTTATAGTGCACCTTTATTGAGGTTTGGGTATTTTGATGTTGATGGTTGGTTGGTTGCTGCTCTTCTGTCAAGCACCTAACTTCATCCATTTATCCAGGCTCATCACTCTTTGTGTGGTTTTGTTCGCTTCAAATAAAATGCCTTTGTAGTTAAAGGTAAACAGTCCACACAATGCAAATTATTTCATATCTGTTGTGTATTAATGTTAAGTTATTTGAGGTCCACAAACGTTTTTGATCCCTCTGTCGGTTCTCCCTCTCCATCTCTGCTCCGAGTGCTGACATATATCCGCTTTAAATCTCTGATTGCCTTGACAATGCACTTCAAAGTCGAGGCATTTAGATTCCCTCAGAGAAAACCAAACCTAAAGCAGCAGTAGTTTCCTCTGACTGATCATGTGCCCCACAGATTATTATGTAAAAGTTATGTAAAAACAATGTCAAGATTATTTGGAAATAATAATACTAGTATAATATTATTTTAGAAACAAAAATAAAGTACTAAATTCAATCTATGCTATAAAATGATTAGGGGCTTCCAAAAATTGTTTTTCATGTGGCTGTTTTTTTGTCACAGTAAAGCAAGGAAGGAATGGTAACATATTAGTCAATGTTGATGTAAGTAGGATTAAAGGATTTCACAGTTGTTTGGACCTGGTGTCAGTAATCGTGTATAAACATAATGGTGATGATTTTTCTCACAATCACTCAACACTAAAATGTGATATCATGACATCCCTAGTAAAAAAAACAACAACTTTATTTATCTTTGTGTTGCAGCCAAGAACTCAAGTTGCCTTCCAAACCCTTGTGAGAATGGTGGTACCTGTGTAGTGACGGGCGAGTCCTTTACCTGTGTCTGCAAAGAAGGCTGGGAGGGTCCCACATGCACTCAAAGTAAGAGCTGCTTCAGTGGGAAAGATAAAGCTGAACAGTTATTACAAGTAAATCATGATAAACCTCCTGCCTGCTACCTCATACCGAGCCCACTCCTGTATCTGATTATATCTTACTTTCTCTCATCTTGATCTAAAACATTAAAAATCCTTTGCTTTCCCTCACTGCTGCCGGCTATCAGCAAAAGAGGAGGAGGAGGTAGACACAAAAGCGTCCGGGAAAGTGGAGACAGATGTTGCTCTCCACTCCTCCTCTTAAAGGCTTGTACAACACAAGACAAGCTCTCTCTCTCTCCCTCTCCCCTCTGCAATCCTGTCCAAACACTGACATGTCGGATTGTACTACAGCACTCCTTCATTTCCCTGGCTTCTCTGGGATCCCTCAACTAACTATGCACAAATTTCTTCAAAACAGAAATTCCCCAACTTTTTCCATGCGTTTGAGAAGTTAGAAAGGGAGTGTGTGGGTGGGGAGTTGGGCTATACAACTGTGAAGAAATTACTTTTGTATTGTCTGGTTTTGCCTTGAGTTGGATTCCGATATCTACATCCATTTTATATTATCTGGATCACAATAATAATATGATATCCTTGTAATCCAGGAAAAATGCGCCTGCCTATAAGGGCCTTTGCTGAGATGCAAGTAATGTGAAAGGACAGTGCATTTTTATTATTGAAATATGCTACAAATGTGCTTTTTAAAACAGATTTTTTTTCCAACTTTTTGTTACCGTAGGTCTTTAAAACAACTGCTGATATTATCTTGTATATATTTAGCAACTTTGTTTTTAATAAGACGTAGTTACTGTGCAGCCCAGCCTTGGTTAGTACAACACACCTTTGCAGACTCAAGCTCAGACGTGCTTCTTGTTGTCATGTGCACTTAACAGCCATACACAAGACAAGCATTCAAAAAAAAAAAAAAAAAAGCAAAACACTAAATTGTATCTCTCTCCTCCCTCTCTCTTTCAGATACCAACGACTGCAGTCCCCACCCTTGGTAAGTAGAAGCCAAACATTTCCTGTAGCTTTAGACAGATGTAAACAGGCTGCTCCTCCCGCACAGGGGAGTCTCACCTGCTGGGAGCCAAGCATACACCCATCCCTGTCATTCCTAAGGTGCAATCAGTCTCTCAACCCTTTGTGAGCACTTAGGCACGGCTTTGTTTAACCACAAACTGCCTTAGAACTGCTTAATTGGAGTTCAGGATAATACGTCATAGATCAGGGAAAAAAATACTGTACAGGTTATCAACTGGCAAACATCCATAGATAATTAAAATAAATAACGGTGGAACTCCTTTGACAACTAGGCCATTCATTGAGACTGTAGAGTTATAAAATACCTTTATGTGAATGCCAAATTGAATAGTTAGCGTGTTGAAATCGCCAAAGGGTTAATATTATGCTAACTAGGAAATTTATTGCAGTGGAACAACACAAAGCTCTAATTTGAGATCCAACAATAATCATGGTGTGATGTTGAGAACCAGTATCCTTGTAATTAGGGCTGGGTATCATTAAGAAGTTGCAGATACATACCTTCGTAAATAGGCCACGATACGATACATATCTCGAGTGCACTTTCGATTCGATACCATATATTTCAAAAGAATTCAATGCGGTTCAATAAAAATAAAGGCTAAATCTTGGCTGTGATATTAAAAGTCTTTGTTAAACCACTTCTTGTGCTAAATTAATATGAAACAAACGTTTTATTCATCAAAACAGTTAAAATGTCAAATGTAAATGAGTTTTCATCCTCTGAACAAGCGACACAACTGTAGCTCTGTAACAAAGTAATTTAGTAAAATATACCAAAAAAATAGTCTTGGCAATATATCGATACAGCAGCCCACGATATCGATACTATTTTTATAAGAATTATCCAAAATGCAAATTGAAGCTGGTCAAGTTGGTCTATAATCTGCTATTTGCCCAATCACAACACAAAGATAGACATTTTGCCTGCTCCCCATTTCAACTGCACAGGCCTATCTTCAATAAAGAGAGAGAAGTCTGATTGCCATAATAGTCTTGAGAGCTGGTAATTACACTGTATACTGACTGCTGAGAAAGTCCCAGCATGAAGGCAGATCTGATAAAGCACTTTGTCAAACATGCCCAGGGGTATTTAAGACTAATCTAAAATGCCCCCCCCTTCCCTCTCTCTCTTCACAGCTACAACAGTGGGACATGTGTGGATGGGGATAACTGGTACCGCTGCGAGTGTGCGCCTGGATTTGCTGGTCCAGACTGTCGAATCAGTGAGTATTATAATCCCTGATGTCCTACTTTGTGGTTTGAGATGGTTAGGTCTGTCACGATGAAAATTTGAAGAGTGAAATATTGCGGAAGAAAATATAGATGTTAAATATTGATACTGAAACTGAATTATTCTGACACAATAACCCTAAAGCATGATAAAAAAAACATCCTTAGAGCATCCTCAAAGACTGTTCTAAATGTAGACTATTGTTAAAAACATGAGCTGCAATAGATAAATGGCAGTTTATATAATGAGTCATAGAAGTCATGTATAGAACCCTCTACAGCTCAGATCTTATCATAGTACAGAGAAAAAATAACAAGGAAGTACCCATGATAAATATTCACCCTCAAAGTGATTGTTCCATCTATCTATATGGAACAATGTCTATGTAGTTTTTTGACAGGCCTAGTCATAGTCCCACACCAAATGTCTAGTCGGCCAATTATCTGTAGCAGGCTCTTGGCCAGGTTCAACCATTTCGGTGTCGCTCCGCCGGGCCCTGGTGCTGTCCTTAGGGGAAACAGGCTTAGCAGGCCAACAGCTAATCAGCCATGCTCCCTGACACTGATTACACAGATTGTTTTCCCTCTTAAAGGCTTTCAGATGGCCACATTCTTTCCCATTGCAAACCCTTTGTTCTACTAAGTCCAGCCTTCAGCTCCTGCATACCTGCTAATGATGCTGCCTTTAATAAAGCCGCATGGGGCACAGATATCCAGGCCTGACTTAAAACATGTTTGCTTGTTTTTATTAACTGGTGTACTTGTGTATGTACTGTGCAAATGACACATGACCTCTGGAAATTAAGCTGAAGAGGAATTAGATTTGTGTGCCGACTGCTTAACCCAATATTTGTGCTGTCTGGAGCCCATACGGGAGCAGTTTCTAACCCATTACCTTGCGCTCTGTGGCAGATATTAACGAGTGTCAGTCGTCTCAATGCGCCTCTGGCTCCACCTGTGTTGATGAAATCAATGGATACCGCTGCCTGTGTCCACCTGACAGGACGGGACCCCACTGTCACGAAGGTATTCACACAGTTAGCTTGTCAGTACCTAGAGGAAGCCAGTATAGATTTTTATACTGCCTTAAAATGATACGCTCTTTCTAAATAAATATATACCTTAACATGTATTGGAACAAGGGCTAAGCGAAAGGAGAAAAAATATATCACAGTATCTTGATAAGACAATTTAAATTTAGTGCGATTGAATTTAAACATAATATATATATAAATCTTTTACCCACAACATGATGATTAAACTTCATTTATTTTCTCAGAAACAAGAAAACCATGCACCGTTAATGGCCACATAACCCCGGACGGAATGAAATGGGATGAAGACTGCAACACTTGCCACTGTTCCAACGGGAAAGTGGTGTGTACAAAGGTATGCCTTTAAACTGCTAACCATTATCTGAGTGTGAAGAATTTATGACGCCTGAGTACAGCTGTGTGTCACATGATGTCATCGTTTACTAATGGGAACCGAGCCGGGGATAACTACAGTGCAATAAACCATTGTGGGACACAGATGGGAACATGTAGTTTAGCTTTAGACTCATGTTTTGCTGCATGTTTTACTTGAAATTTCACAGATAAGGCTCCTAATCCAATTTGCTCTAGTCCAGCTAACACAGAGAAAAGATAGAAAAGATAGTAGAAGGAAGCTACTGTAATGTATATAATACATCTATAACATGCCTGCATTTAAGGGCATACTATCAGGACAGAAATATAATTTATGCTACAATGCTTGATGACATGATTGTCAATTGATTTTGGTTGAAGGGCAAAAGGTCAATGACTGAAAATGTCAACTGTATAGGAAAATACTTTAAATACTAAAAGAGTTGTTTGAGCATGTTTCTGGCAAAAAGAGGAGTAGTCTTTTGAAATCAGTTAAACTGGAACTTCAGTTTCGGTTTACATGTTCTGACGTTTTCTTTATTAAATTATTAAATCAAACATAGATTTGTTTTGGCTCAAAACTGGTTCATGCATGGTTTAGTCCTGATTTTTTTTTGTTCAATTAGTTCTGCTCTAAAGCATATATTTATTTAGTGTGAGAAAATGTCCTCAGTATGTTCCCAGGTACAGCAGCTTGTAACAGCACAGGCAAAGGGTGGAGTTGACTCAGGAGTGTCACATTCAATATAGAGATGATGCATTTTGTTTTGAAAAGAAACACAATGGTGCAGTTGGAAATGGCTGCCAAATGCCATTTACTAGAAGTCACTGGGTAAGACGAGGCTATCTACAGGGAGAACAGTTTTTTCATTTATCATGAAAACTTCACATCTAAACGAACAATGGTGCCTCACTGATACAGCTTGCCTCAGGAGGAGTAAATCATAGGATTGACCCTATGAGGTTTCACAGCTTCCAGGAGTGTCTGCAGCAGAAATACAGCAGCATTCTTTCTTACAAAGAAATGAATCATAATCCAGGCTTATCCAGTGCAGATCTATGGCAACCCAAATATGTACTTAAGTAAGACTAATGCTTTAAAATATCTAATGTAAAATGTTTTTAAAATGTCTAATGTAAAATGTGATATAAATAATTATTAAAGTAAGAAAAATTGGAAAAATTACTACTTCAGTACTGAGTAACAGTGGACGTAAAAAGAATTGCAGATGTGATTCATGACTTATGACAGAATAGACTCATGCATTTCCCCAAAATAGAGAGCCAAATTACAAAAACAGTTCATATTTGAAAAGCAAGTGTCAGTGCAAATGATTTTTTGTTGTTGTTGTTGATGTTGTTCATATAATGCTTTTGCCACTATAGAATTACTTGAGTACTGTATTTTATAAAAAAAAATTTAAAAAAGTAATAAAGTGCTCAAGTAGGTGAATTACATTTGTTATCAACAAACTACTAAACATAACTTCCTTAAAATGTTATTCCAGTAAATGTAACCGAGTACTACGAACCCCTCTCTATGGTAATCAGATATAAGCAATGTATGACTGATTTCAATACTTGTTACTGTTTTTCCAGATGTGGTGTGGTCCCAAGTCATGCAAACTCGGAGCAAAGGGTCGCGGGGGCTGTCCATCGGGGCAGAGCTGTTTGCCAGTGAGGGAGAGCCATTGTTTTGTGAAGCCGTGTCTGGAGGAGGGCGAGTGCTGGTGCAGTAATCCAGCCACTGCGCCTCACAAATGCCACCTGAGCTCCAGTTTCCACGACGACAGCTGCGCCAACATCACCTTCACGTTCAACAAGGAGAACATGCCCCAAGTGAGTACCTCCTTCCATCCACCGTGAAGACATGAAATTAAGAGGTTTTTCGGGCCATTTTTCATGCTTCCTACACAACACAAGTCAAAAAGATCAGGTTTACATAAGTGTTTTTTCTATCTGGTCTCAGGCGTTGGCTTTTATTGTGAACATCAACGTGCTCCAGGAAACAAAATCATTATATCTTCTCCTCCTTGACCTTCAATAAAAATTAATTCACATTCACTTCAAGTTTTGGTGTTCTCAAACTCCCTAAACTTAACCACAATGAAAGATTAACTACAGGATCATATGGATTTCAGCTAAATGGGTTCACTGGCGACTCTGTCACCACATTGGGCCATCACTCGCCAGCTGTCTAACAAACATAACAGTCGATAGCGACAGGCATACGAGTCTGTGGTCTTTAATCCAAATGAGGTGGATCCCAACCAGATAGTACATTGAAAACACAGCCAAAATCTCAACCAAAAGATTGTTTTCTTTTGTCATTGTTTGCCCTGTATTTTCCACTAAGCATTTTATTCCCCTTTCCGCAGGGCTTAACAGTTGAAGGCGTCTGCAAGCAGCTAAGAAGATTGTATGTTGTAAAAAACTTCTCCTTGGAGCATTCAGTGTCGATAACTTGTGAGCCATCATTCTCAGCCAGCAATGAAATCCATGTTTGCATTGTAAGTAATTCTTTAATTCTCAGACAAACCTTTACCAGGCTTATCACTACAATTATCAATCATCGGCATGCTTTCTTTACCCCAACATCTCATTTGTGGTCAATTAAGATGAAAATGTAAACATAATCAGTAAGAAATGATAAGACAGAAAAGATAAAACATGGATAAACATGATTTTAACCTGTTTTTACATTTTCTTTTTGTAGTCGACTGATGACCATCGTTTGGACCGTAGCCCAGGCAAAGAGATCATAGACAGGATACTGGACCTGGTTAGCAAACGCAACGGCAACAATACCATCACAGCCTTCATCGCAGAAGTTCGTGTGCCAAGCCCGATCAAAACTGGTACGCACCACTTAACTCTCCTTTGTTTACTTGCATACACCTGAATGATGTAGGCGGATTCAATGTTGTTTTTTGAATTTTAGAAGGTTATGATAGTGGCAGGCATTCAATATAAAAAGCCCTTTGGAAACATTGGGAAAATATGTGTATGAAAACAAATTCCCATTCCACCCACACAGGCCCCGAGCCGGAGACCTGGGTGGTGCAATCTACAGTAAATAGTGCCGCACAGATCTGGTCTCATGGCAGTTGTAATTGAAAAGAATGCAGGCAGGGTTTCAATGGAAAGACTAGAGGTGCCTGCTACAAGGCCTCAGACTGGCTCACACTGTGACTGGCTGGACCTAGTAGTAGTTAGACTCCTGCATGTGTCCACCATTCATCAACACAGTGACAGCAGACTGCCGCCACAGCCAAATAAAAGCCGCCTCCTCCCTGTTAGGGCTCAGAGGTCAGGTTGCATTGGAAAAGCATGCTAATGATTTAGCTAGACTGACGCAGCTATATAATAAAGGCTTTTGTGTATTGTTTAAATAGGATGAATTATTTTATGTGTGTGTCATCTCATGACCTTTCTGCTTGCTTTGTCTCACAGACTACCTAGTGCCCCTCCTCAGCTCCGTCTTCATTGTGATCTGGGTCCTGGTGTTGGTCTCCATATTTCTGTGGTGCATGAGACACCGGCGGAAACAAAGCAACCACAACGGGACGTCCACTACAGGCGCAGAGGACAACACGACCAACAATGTGCGGGAGCAACTCAACCAAATCAAAAACCCTATAGAGAAGCATGTAGGCCTCACGGTGGCCATCAAAGACTATGAAAACAAGAACTCACTCATAGCCAAAATAAGGACAAATCACCCCGAGGGGGATGAGGACGACAAGGAGAGGCACTTACAGAAGGGCCGCTTTGCCAAACAGCCAGCATACACACTAGTGGAGCGGGACGACAAGACGCCCATCTCCAACCCCAACTCCACATCCAAACATCCAAACTGGACTAATAAACAGGACAACAGAGACTTGGAGACAGCAAACAGCATTAACAGGATGGACTACATTGTATAGCAGACAGCTGTGTTGCTGTGCAACCAAGCCTAATGCATTCACACCCCGGTGGTGGGTGAGCGGGGAGCTCTGGCATGTGTCGTTAGCGGACTGTCATGTCAGTGACCCCACAGTATTTTCAGATATTCCCCGTGTTAATTTAAGTTTTGACAAGCTGGCTTACACTGGCAGTGACAGTTGCTTTGGTGAGCTGGAAACACAAGGCACTGGTATACATTTCATGTAGAGCTGGTGGCACAAGTGTCCTCTATGCATTTCAGTTCCTGTGGTTTTAAGTTGGGACACATGGAGGGGCTCCTGGTGTAATTGTTGTACAATGACTAAACGACCCGACGTGTTCCATGCTAGAGCTAATATTTTAGTATTGTTTGAATTCCTTTAGTTCAGTTTGGAGAAAGTGCCTTTTCAGCTTTAGACTACAGCAACTGTCAAAAAAGATCAACTTTATTATTTATTTTTATTTCTGGGGGTTGGGGGGCGGGTTTGATGTCAGCAGTTGCTGCCAATATGAAGAATTTATGTCGATTTAGAAACTTGTAGATATGTACATTTTTTATTAATCATTGTGTATATTTGATTTATTAACTTAATAATCAAGAGCCTTAAGATATCATTCCTTTTTATTTATATGTTCTGTGTAGTTTGAAGGTTTTGATAGCTGCGGAAGCCAACCATTTCTAAATCTTTCCGTTGCATTTGTTAAAAGCCAAATTTCAAAGAATTTCAAAGACAATTGACAGGCCCTTTTGGCCTGAAAGAGACTTTTATTTTTCTCGTTTGACATTTCATCATTTCACCAGAATTTGTTGCCAAGACCTTGATCGAAGGCAAGTGAGGTTAGGACAACAAGCGACTACAGCTGCTCTGAGGGATGGACATGGTGGCAGACATATTGCTTGCCTCTAATGAAAAAATACTTAAGGGAACAAAAGCCCTCAGCAGCTCCAGTTTAACCCTCCGATACATTAGAAAGGCTGTCCATTTCACCAACTTGCACAGCAAGTCACAAAGGCACGCCAGATTTCCCATCTGCTTTAGTCAGCGTAATATCATAAGCTAGACCACGAGTACTTGAACAGTAGGGGGCAATGGGAACACTGTAGAATCGGATAAATACACTGCCTTGCTCTGCAAGAGTCTTTTGTTTCTGTGCACATTTGTTTCTTTTTAAAATGAGGCTCTTAAAGACAAACATGTTTTATCTCATTTGTTAACCCTTTGAGATCATGGCAACATTTTGTCCTACTTTTTGACTTGTGTTATGAACTTGAGAATTATGTGTTGATCTGGCAATATATTTTTGAAAGTCATATTTATTAAATATTTTGTATGAAAAGAGAATTAAAGTTGTCTTTGTTCTGACGGAGAGTGCAGTTTGTGTGTGGTGTTTAGAGCCAAACATGTTGAAGAAAAGGAGAGGATTCGGTCGTGGGAACCGTTGCTCGAGACACATCGTAGACTCTACAAGGTCTCTGTCCAAATGTGTTTATAGCTAATTACGTTGTAAGCAAGCTCGCCTTATGTTTTGTCAATGCTAAAGACTAAAATACCCTTGCTCCTCATGATCCACAAACAATGTTGTCCTTGTTGATGTGGTTTGAGTAGGACACTTATCTGCACTGAGCCTGAGAAGCTGCAGTCCAACGCAGAATGAGTTAAAAGGATTAAAGCCATAGCAAGAGATTATCAACACGCAGGAATGACCTTAAACATATCAAGACTTAAAACAATACTGCCTCTCCCTCTGTAACACCGTGGGCCTGTGTATCTGATGTCAAATTACACCCACTCAAGATAGAGATGGGAACAGCACCAGTTTAATTACAAACATCTCGAAAATTGGACAGAATGCCACTGTAATACTGCCAGGAGAAAGCGATACATGGTATTTTAATCACACTTGCTTCCAGTTTATCTGCATATTCTCACAAACAGTGCATAATCCAATGGGAAAATCATTTACCCCTTATTCAAATACAATAAAAATGATGAATAATGTTATTGTTTTGGTAAGGCTATCTTGAACTGTTTGTCCCTTGGTTGCCCTTTCCTTTTGTTCAGGGGGGAACAAGAATAAGCCCTGGACCAACTTCAATAGCCACACTGAAACCCAGGAATATTGTTTAAAGGAAAGTTGTAAAATCCACCCAAATTTAAAGCTACATTTCAGGTGCTAGGCAACTAAGTACTATGCAACTAATGCATGAATGAAATCTTAACTGCAACAATACATTTTTGCAAACAGGGTGATGAAACAAAACTGGAAACGGCAATCAATCAAAGTTGGAGCTTGAGTAGGGGGAACTGGACACTTTTCAGACATGTAGGAGCCAGCTTTTTTGAGCAAAATCCATGACGTACTGCATGGCTCCTGGCTGTCTGAAATCCCCAATCTTTAACACAAAACCAAATCTAAACTCAAATTAAGGTTTTTGACTTTCATTTGCGAGCTTTTCTTGACCACCACTGCAGTACTTAAGGGTGGAGGCCGAGTCTGTTTCAAGTATTTGACAAAGCGTAACTGGAGGGCTCATGTATCAATTGTTGTAATGTGTTTGTGTCGGCAGCAGCGAGGAGAGTAGACAGAGTAAACGATGAAGTGCTGTTTTGTTTCCAAAGGGGAGACACCAGCCCAGTCTGTGTGCGGTAAACATGTCAGTAGCTTCTCTGTTTTGCATAATATGTGATGAAGTACCACAGTCTATATTATGATATGACTGGTAATTTTTACTATACAACTTGAAGGGTTTTGTTAAATCAAACATAAAAAATCACAAGTGTTTTCACCCGAAAACATTGCAAATAATATTTTTTAATCAGACTTCTCAGAAAATGCTAAAAAAAAGCAAGTTGTCAAAGATGGTTACTGGTATGTTTAAATGAGAATTTATTTACTAAAGAATACAATTTTGCACCTTAAACAACTTGAATTCAAAGAGTGAAAGAAAGTATTTAAAGCCATATTGTGGAACATTCCAGGCAAATCAATTATATATCTATGGAGATACGCACAGTGTAATAGGCAAATTGTTTCAACTGTGTTCATGGACAAAGTTACGAGTCTCTGTATTCATGAAAAGGGATCAAAATCAAATTAAACCAAATTGTAATCAGTACAAGTTTAGCCATTACAAGTACAGACATTTTCTAAAGTTTTAAAAGGAAAATGAAGTCACTCAAATTACCAATAAAAAGATTTGGGAACATCATTTTAAGACTTTAGTGATGGAGATATTGCATTTACCAATCTTGCAATAACCCTAAATTGACAACATGCATCCTCCTCTTCCCACTATAGCCCCATCCTCTCTCTCAAGACTTCTTCATCCTCCGTAATCGCGATGCTCGGGGCACGTTCCCACTCCCCTCCTCTTCTTCCCGCTTCTGCGTGGATCTGGAAGTAATAGAGGAGCTAGAGGATGCATGCTTGTCAGATAGGCCCCTCAGACTTGCGGCCGGCCTGGTTTGGTTTGTCTGTGCCGTGTTATTGCTGCTTGCGAGGGGCTGCCGCGGGGCCCTTTTCCCTGGAGTAAGCAGCTCTACTTCCACTGTGGTTTCAATGCGTTCAGACACCGGGAAAGCCTTGAATTCTGTCTTGCATTCGGGGTCGTGCCTGAAAGTTTGACTGGAGCTTTCAAGACACGCCCTCTTGGCCCGTTGCGGGATAGGGTCTTCCCCCTCGTCCCTTGTGGTCTTGCTAGTTTTTGGACCAGCTTCTTGTTGGCAGGGAGCAGTCTGTTTGTCAGTATTCCTATTATTCTGCTCACGAGTTGGGCTTGAGTCCAATTTATTCCCAATCTGAACCACTGGATCAGGAGACTGCTTTGAGTGAGCACCCTCTAGTTCAGTCTGGCTTCCAAAGTTCTGGGGGTCTTTCTGTTCCTTGTTCTGAACACTGGCCTGCTTGGCTCTGAGAAGCAGATAAAGAGCAGATATATATAAAACAACAAGCACTCATTTTACTGTAACACAATATTTTATTACTTTTGATTTTGTACATATCTGCCATTTTTTGACAGAATATAAAATAATGTATCTGTGCTACATTGATAAAAACTTGTGTATCGTTTGTTTGACTTAAATAATAGTTGATAAACATCAAGCCCAGAGTTGGAAACAGGAAATGTATGAAAAAGATTTCATTAAAGGACCCATATTAAGTTATTTTCTGATCTATGTTATAATGTTGTTTCCTCATCAGAAACATAACTAGAGTTGTGTTTTGTTTCATTCACAAATGTCTATGTGTTATGAGGCAATACAGGAAGTGCTCCACGTCCTGTATTGCCTCATTTCCTCTAATACAGGGAAATGATTCACTAGAATATTTTAGTTAATTTCAGCCCTGGAATCTGCTGAATAAAATGTAAAAGGTAACTGTTCTCTTGAAACTACCACTTCATGACATCCCAAGGTGGAGTTATATAACAATAAAGCCATGTGGTGGAATGTAACAGGCAAAGCAATAATATCTCAATGCAGAAGTTACATAGTCCACCTTTAAATTGCAAATGGTTAAAAGGTTGTTATATGCACCCACGAGTAAGGGTTTTACAAGTAAAGGTACTTCAGTAAAAGTTTTACTGAAGTACTTTAGTAAAAGTTTTACTGAAGTACTTTTACTTGTAATTGAGTATTTGAGAATTAGCCATGTAGCAGTATTTCTCCAGTTTAAAGAACCCGTTCCCCTCTCTGATAAACAGGATATGGACAGTTCCACGAGTGTCCTGTCAGAGCACAGGGCTGGAAACTTCAGTGTTATTTGCTCAAACTTACATCTTTTGAAGCCCAGTTTTCTTTGTTTTTGTGGGGATGTGAGGAGGCTCTTGGGTTTCGGCCGCTTTGGAAAAATATTCTGATCGACTTTGTTCACTCAGCTCTTTCTGGAGGGATGAGAGGACAAACAGGGACAGTCCACTATCATTTAGCGCCATCACACACAAACACATTATTGTGATATTTGGTTGAAACCAGAGTTGCACATCATTTGCTTTGAGGTTAATAAAACAGTATTTTCTAACTATCTAATCCCCCAGGAACCACAGGCAATAACATCGGCACATTTATACAGATAACAAATGTAAAGTGTCTTTCCCAATGACACAACAAACACGTAAAACTTAGGGACCAAACCACATACCTTCTTGTAACAGATAGATTTGCAGAGCTTGAATTCAATTTATATAATACACAGATACTAAGGATACTATGTATCATTGGGCAATTAAAATATGACTTTTTAGATAATTATTTCAAAAGTATATTAGAGATTTTTGCAAAATTTTTGTGGAGTGGAGTTTCTCTCACATCGCCTTCCTTCTACAGTGCAAAAATTAAGTAATTCTAAAACACACATAGAAAATAAATATGAAATGTATTAAATGTATATTTGTGCAAATGCATTTCAATCTAAAATTTACATTTGATTTTCCACTCCATGAGATTAACTATGTAGATGAAAAATGTCTATTGCTTTGAGGCAGAACCAGGACTGGCCCAAATTTTGGATCTCACCAACAAATGCCCTCACCAGGCCTCTAATGGAGCTTAATTACACATCTCTGGAGTGACTGAGCCAGAGCAGGCTGTGGATTTATGAGTGGACAGACACTGAAGGAAACCAAGCAGAACCAAGAGTCTGTCAAGTGCCCTGGTCGAACCCACAAATATACTGTAATGTTTAAATAATGTACCAGTTTAAGGGTCATTTAGGCACATTTGGAGAAGATGTCTTATGGGATATGCACTCTTTCCTCTAAGCAAATGTTCAATGCAATAAATATCAATTGATACATGGAAAAAATAAACATTAGCTTGGTTATTGCAAGCCTATAACAGTATGTTCCTTATGCCAGTGGATTTCAGACTTCTCGTAGATAATATTTGCCTTTCTGAGTACCACCAGATCAAAACCCAGGCTTAATCAGGCCTAAATGAACGCTAAAACAAGACTATGAATAAGACGAATTAAGGCTAAAACAAGATAAGATACTGATTAATTCAAAGAAACACAAAAACAGGCAAACTTTTGATCCTAAATAAATCTAAAAATACAGAGGGTAAAGCAACACTGAGAAACACTGCCTTGCGCTATGACCAGATAAATAGTTCATATTAAAATGTTGATTAATTGAAAAAAGAGTTGCCTCAATAAGGACATCTGACTTGAAATCTTTGGAGAAGTATATTCTGCAAATCACTTTGGACAAGACAGTAGTGGACTATTATTACGTTACAAGAAAAAGTTGCGGGTGGCATGAAATCGATTTATACAGAAGGTCAAATAAGTACAAGAAAATAGCTGTATCTGGACCATAAACCGTAAATTAACACAAGTCAAATTTTTTGTGCTTAAGTTTCAT